TGAGATAATCTCAGCAATGTAGCCAGGCCATGTAGCACGGCCACTTGGCACCTCGGCTGACACTTCGGTGTTACCTTTTGCCACGTGCCGTTATTCACAAAATACTTCCCCACAACTGCCTAGGTTCTATTACCTCGACAACCTGAGATGATGGAACCTACATTGTTTCTTCGAGCAGTAGGTCGGCTATAGTATCGCTCTGCTTCATGACCAAGATCATTACTCGTCGGCTTTAAGTACTTAGTGCTCAACTGTCCACCTTTATCAAGGATCATGAACCCAGAGTCAAGTTCTTTAAACATCTCGATCGTGATTGTTCCTCTAGCCAAGGTTTTTGCTTCATTAATCGAGAACTCCAAGGTTTTGACTGCGCATGAGCTGTCACACACAGTTTACTCAACCGTTTCCTTCACGCGTCCCTTTCTCATTGGTTCGTACTTGATACGTGTTATCAGGTCGCATCGCTTCTGCGCACGCCGCCTGATAAACACGTCGTCCAAGGCATATTTATTTCCTTTTGCCACCTTTTCAAGTTTTAACAAAACTCTCTCTCTTTCTCTCTCTTCGTCTTCTCACTTTGCATCCTCTCTTTTTTTTTCTCTGTACTTAGACTTTGTTTCTCTAAAATCCTCCATTTCTATGTTCTTAAGCTCTCTGCAATCACTCCGTTTAGCTCCTCCGGCGAAGCATTCACTGTTCTGCTCCACTCGTTGTCACCGTCTAACTCTGGCGAACCTCAAACCGGTGTCCACGACCTCGGCCCCAACCAGTGAGTTCCTAGTTTCTTTTGATTTCAGTTTCAATTTTCCATTATTCTGAATATGTTCTTTCTTTACCATATGTCTATTCTGTTGCTATTGAATCCGTTTTCATGGTTGCACTCCATTTTTTCTTCGATTATGAATCAATTTCCTATTCTTGAATCTTGAATTTGTGTAGTCTTTCGAAAATGCCAATCATGTTTTTTTCTTGAGACATTTGCATATTATTCTTCACATACTCACTCAGTGTCTTGAAGTTTTGGGTGTACACACCTGTTTTTCTACTTCACCCTAATTTTTGAATTTTCTTTTTTGGTCTTCTTGCTCTGTTTTCAGATTTTTGCCTTTGATTCCTTGTTTTTGCATAGACTTGGGTTTGGGGGTTTGATTTAGAGCCTTGTTTCTTTAGGAAAACTAAAACGAAATCCCCTCTAATCCTCATAAATCCTCATCCCAGTGCTTTTTAGGGTTTATCCAAGAACTCTTTTCTAGGGTTTGATTTAGAGCCTTGTTCCCAAACATTTACCAGTGATCTTCTTCTAAAATCTTGTACGATCTTCCATTTAAGACGACGTTATGGGCATGTTTAAGTGGAGGGTAGACACCCCAGAAAAACTTGAGAACTTTAGAAGAGAGTTCTCTATCCCAGCCTACATTTAGATGAGATTGGCTGGGAAGGAGGACTCCATTATGCCTGATGGAAACTTTATGCCCTTCCCGGTAGTTACCTTTGTAGAGTATGGACTCAGGTTTCCCCTAAACATCTTTTTTAGGGAAATCCTACATTATTATAAGCTCAACCCCATGCAACTAGCCATTAGCTCATACAGGGTTAGCAATGGCATCATAGAACTGGTACGCCGGGAAAATACTAAGATTACGCCAGTCGACATCCAGTTCTATTACACCATGTATGGCCTTAAGTTTGAAAAAGGCTACACATATTACCTCAAGCCCAGATCCACTGCCTACAAAATCATAGTTGACCTTCCTGACTTCAACAAGGGTGCTGGAGATGACTATCTGATCGTCTACTGGGAGTTTGCACCAAACGACGATCTTCATCTCTTCTTACTGCGCCAAGAAGTGTTTAGAGAGGATGAGGGTAAGAACTAAGTTACCCTCCAACTTTATCTCTACTTAAGACTTGTTAACCTTGTCTGTTCATGCTAGTGCTTCTCTTGTTTGCAGATCTTCGTCAGCCAACGAAGGACTTTCGCTAGACATTTTTTCCCAGCAAAGACCTAAAAAAGCTGCTAGGTTTGCCAATCGAGAAGTGCAATGTGACAACCCCGACTCATGATTAACGCTAATCATGATTAAGCATACTAAGTAAATGATTAAGATGAAATCCTAAATTAATTATGTGAGTGTGTTGCTTTAAATGCATTTTTATATGTTTGATGTAGAAAAACCTGTTCATGTTTCGATTTCGATTTGCGAATTGAAAGCCTTATCGGCAATCGATTCAGAAATTGATGTGATTTATATGTTACTTAGGATTTATAGAATTTTATGGTAGGTTTAATTAAAATTTGGTTCGGAACAATTAAATTGGATTAAATTGATGCCATTTGATTAACTTTGTTATCTACCACTTAGTGAGTCATTTTATTGACCCCACTAGTTCAACTTTATACCTCTTTCTCCTTAATTTGATGCTCAAACGTGAGAGAGGGAGAGAGTAGGGAGATTTGGGCCCTAGACTTGAGAATTGAGTTCAAATAAGAGGAGTTGCTAGAAGAGAAGAAGAAACCTTGGACATTTGATCATCTAGCTCAAGAATTTATCACCTAAGGTCCAAATTGAACATCCAAGGTAAAAAGCCAAGTCTCTAGTCTTGAAATTAAGTTGCTTCATCTATGAATTCAAGTGATTTGAGCTGAGATATAAAATTTAAGCTTAAGAAGTAGGAAGGAAGATTAATCCATGCATGCATGTTCATTTCATCACATTTGGAGCATGTTTGCTAAGAATTCTCTCATGCATGTCATAAATTGAGCTTAATTGTAGGAAATCATCATGTTTTCTATCAATTTGCTAAGTTTGATCATGTTTTGAAGTGGTGGAGTTCAAGAGAATTCATGCATGTTATATTCTTGAAACATTCATAAAGTTTAAGTTGAATTTGTGTACAATTAGCATCCTTTGGGGCTTTGATTTCATGAAATGATCTTTAAATCGTGGTGTGTTATAAGTTTCTAAGTGTTTTTCTAGAATTTTTGCCCAAAAGAATGACTTTTGGGGTGTTGCATTCATGTTTTGAACATGGGAGCAAATCTGGAAAACCCAGAATTTTCCTTCCTTGCTTGAGTGAAGGATTCCACGCTCGAGCGACCACATTTATTTTCACACTTCCGCTCGAGCGACAAAAGGTTGGCTCGAGCGTAAATTGCATGCTCTCAGAAGTTTGTGTGTTTGGAAGCACGCTCGAGCGAGGAATTGTCTCTCACGCTCGAGCGACCGTCGAACGAAGATTGCACGCAACCAGAACTGTTTCACATTTTGCAGACCGCTCGAGCGAAGGAGTGTGCGCTCGAGCTACCACTCACATTCGGTATGCTCGCTCGAGCGAAGGAAGTTACGCTCGAGCGAGACCCTTGTTTTCAGTAAGTTTTGAAAATTATTTTTAAGTATATTTTTGCGTCCTCATTCCACCCTAGGCATTCCTAGGTCATGATTAAGACATCATAATGAGGTTAATGAAGTAGAACCACACCAAAACAAGTAGAAATGACTAAGTTATCAATTCCAGGTGTGTAATTTAGCATGCGTTTGTTCTGTAACTGTGTAAGTTTCGCACCTCAAGGAAGCTGAATAGCCTGCTTACAGCCCTGTTATCTGTGAGTAACAACGTTGTAAAGATATATTCAATCGTATTTATTTTCAGATTGATAAATCATATTGCCTCCTAAAATGATACTTTTTATCGATTGAATGATGATCCTATTTTGAATTGTATTCGTGGCATCCATAGCGTATTGTGATTGTTATTGCTATTGATATTGTTATTGTTAGAGAGATTTCTATCAGTTCCAAATCTGGGAACTATTGTTATTGTATGATGGCCATCAATTGATCGTTCGGTCTTTTAAGAGCAAGTGTATTGTTGCTATCGGATGTACCATGTATGACTTATATAGTTAGCGACTGATTGAATTGATAAAATCGAATGATAGCTCGACGAATAATATTCATTGAAAATGCTCTAATGCTAATCGATTGTTTTAAAAAATTGAAGGACATCATTCTTAAACCCTTTACACGTTTGTTATTCATTGGGCTATAGCTCACAATTCATATATATATGTAGGTGGCCAAGCACTGGACCAAAGTTAGAGGCCCTGACCTAAGCTCATGTTTTGTCAAGCCAGCCATTGTACCTCACATCGAGGTTCCGAACCTGCACGAGTTAAGGCTTCTTAGGTGTTGCTATCCACCCTTTTGCTAAGTGTAATGAATGTCTAAGACTTTTGATTGTATAGTTTTCATGATGGGATTATGTCCCTATCTCGTATTTTCCTTTTTGTTATAAGTGGTATATGAATATGGCTATGTGCATGAAAGTGTATTTCCATTCAAGTCTTCACAACTCATTGGATGATGTAGATCTTTATTAATTGGCTTCCGCCAGCCCCTTGTATTGTATTATTGTCATTATTGTTAAACAGGCCTTCGGTAATAACGGATTATTGGCCGGTTACAACACTAAACCCATAGGGGCGGGTTTGGGTCGTGACACGCAAGGCCCCATTGTTGCTTGACTACATCCCGACATACAAATCCGCCTTGCTCGATGTTCCTTGCCGAAACAAAACTTCCTCATCTGCAACAACTCCACCAGCTGCATCATTCCCAAGGCCAGACCAAGCCTCTTCATCAGACCCAGTAGAGTTGCCCTCTACTTCTGCTCCAGCTCAAATAATCCCTATATCCTAGCACTGACGCCAACATAGAGCTCCATCAAACGCTCCAGCCAGCAGGACGCGTAACCGCACACGCCGAGAATCAATCTCCTCAACGTACGACCCAGCAAACCCTCAAACTGCACTTCCAGCAATTCATTTCGGTACCAATGTCACCGTCGCTGCAACAACTGACGGCATAGGCCACAAACCAACCGTCATTGAAGATCTCCTTGCCACCCTTCCAGGGGTAGTGGCTGTTCAATCCTCCTCCTCTCTATTCCAGACCAAGTCAAAGCCAAAAAGGGTAAAAAAAGCCAAGGCTAAGGCCATAATGACTCAGATTGACTCTGAGGACGCTGTGCCAATCTCGAAATTAGCCGAGGTAAAGAAGAGCCAAGCTGCCGCCGAGAAGAGGCCAGTCGAGGCCGATGTATCCGATTCCCAACCACCCAAAAGGCTGAGGTCTGATCAACCTGAGGGTAGTTGTAGCTTCCCTTGCAATATGACCTGGGCTCCTGAGTTCATGGTGTGGGATAGACCCTTGACAGTTGGCGACAACGCGATGGATATTGAGTCGACGCAACCCTGTCAACGACTGTTCTTTTACCAGAAGATTTGAACCGTATGGCCTAGTTGCATGAGTATGAAAACTTTGGCCTTATGATGCAGCACTCGGTCTTGGTAAGCCTCTTCCTTTTCCCTGTTAAATTTTTTCAACACTTAGCTAGAATCTTAACTAATTTGTTTTACTCCTTGCAGGCCATCCAGCACGCACATTCGTATGCTATCAAGACCGAGATGACGAAAAAGGAGTTAGTAAAAAAGACCCAAGAAGCTGCCAAGCTCCTGTCATCATTGAACCACACCGAGGCTAACAACTGAAAGCTACTGCATCAGGCCAAGGCTACCAGAGCTGTACAAGGCCATGCCGAGGCCAAAGCCGAAGCTAACAAGGGAGCTACCGAGGCTGCTAAGGCCGAGGTTGAGGCTGTCAAGGCCAAGGCAGCAAAGTTCAAGGCTAAGCTCAATGAGGCCATCAAATCAAATGAAGAAGAGGTCAAAGCAGCCGATGAGAAGGCCTTTGAAGAGGGTCAAGCTGCCATTTGTGACCAATACAAAGAACAAGTCAATAAGGCTTGCAACAGAGGTTATTACCTCGGTTGGACGATTACACTAAACAAATTATCTGTTCCAGTGGACTCCGACCTCTGAGACATCAATCAACTCCAAGTGCCTTTCCCTCCAAAGCCCAAGGACTTTGGCGACGAAGCCAACGAGGATAATGTTGAGGATAGTGATGCCGATGAAGAGGAGAAGGAGGCTGCCACTGATGCCATGTCCCCTACCCTAAATGAGCAAGTCCTAGACTTGACTCAAGATGAGGAGGATGACTTGGCATCCAAGGGCGCCTCTCCTAAACCAACCACTACTGAGGCCGAGGTCCAATGCGCCGAAAAGAGTTTGGATCAGACTCTGCTCGAAATAAATGCAAAGATAGCGGCGAAGAAGAATGCAATGATGCCAACCAAGGCCGATACAACTCCAATAGCCGAGGTTGAGTAATCCAAGACCAATCCCAGTGCTTAGGATATTTCTTCTTTATTTTGTACTCTTTCCTCCTTCAATTATATTTCGTTTGATTGACTTTTGACTTTTCAGTTTGGCCGATGTGCCTTTTGTTGTATCTGAACAAGTTTCTCCTTCAAATGCATGTTTTTCTTTTTAAGTGTTTGAATGCTTTTCTTGTATGCTTACTGCTTTCTTTCCATGCCTTGTATGCCTTCATACTTAGAATATTTTTGTATGACTTCAAAGTATACCTTAACTATATAATAACTTCGGGGTAAAGTACCTTGGATGCAGATATTGGCTGTTGTCTCAACCAACAATTTGAGTACCTCGGCTAACACTTAAAAATATTTCAAAATATTTTTACAATTGTTGTTTCTCTAGACTTATTCAGTCATGTATTACCCCTTCATTTCCACTTACTGTCCTCTATCAAGACTTTGCCCTTCCAACCTTGACAATCTGGTTGGTCACCTCGGGTAATATATATCTTGGATACATCTTTCATAATTACCTCAGCTAACTCCAACCTGTAAATTTCTCTGAAATTTCGACAAGTGTTAAGCCTATTTTAACTTGTAAATTCTTCTAAAAAAATTTCAACAAGTCCCAAGCTCTTAAACTTTTAAGTTTATTCATCATTCTCCAGCTCCCTGCACCCTAATATGAACCTAAGTTCTACTGAAGTTCATATTATGCTGAAGTTAGATTAGAACAAAGACTAGCCGAGGTGTTCAACCTTGGTTTCTCTGGTAATTTGACTAAAGCACACTTAGTTCCATTTAGAGTTTAACTCTGCCGACATAGTAAGTCTAGGTTAATTCAACTTAGTTCAATTCTATAATATGCAAGTATAATTCAACTCTGCCATATAATAAGTCTAAGTTATTCGTCATGGTTCATTTGGAAACATTGCCAACTTAGTTCAACTCTATTATATGCAAGTATAATTCAACTCTGTCATATAATAAGTCTAAGTTATTCGTCATGTTTTATTCAAAAACATTGCCAAATTAGTTCAACTATATTATATGCAAGTATAATTCAACTCCGCCATATAATAAGTCTAAGTTATTCGTCATGTTTCATTCAAAAATATCGCCAACTTAGTTCAACTCTATTATATGCATGTATAATTCAACTCTGCCATATAATAAGTCTAAGTTATTTGTCATGTTTCATTCAGAAACATCACCATAGGATTGGTCAATCCTATCACATAAATTTCAAATTCATAAAAATCAAACTAAAATTTTATTATTACTTTGGCTAATGACATAAACTTCGAAAAACAAAAATCTAATGATAGAAAAACTTCAAGTTGCAAGTGTTCCAGGGTCTTGGAAACTCTTTGCCATCACTGTTCTTAAGTCGATATGCCCCATTGCCGGCGACAGAGATAATTCTATAAGGCCCCTCCCAATTTGGGTCTAGCTTGCCCTCCCTAGGATTCTTCTCGTTGCCGACTACTTTCCTCTACACAAGGTCCCCAACTTTAAATTTTCATGGGTTGGCCTTCTTGTTATAAGCCCTAGCAAGCTGCTGTTGATATGCCCCTAGCCGAATTGCTGCTCTCTCTTTTCTCTCCTCTAGAAGGTCCAGATCTCGGGCCAGGGCCAAGAATGCCTCATTAGTCCCATTTTCCACTCCCTGGGTTCTGATCCCGGAATGTCGACTTCAAGTGGGATAACTGCTTTAGTGCCATAAGCCATGGCAAATGAAGACTCCCCAGTTGATCTTCTCGGCGTAGTCCGATATGTCTATAGTATATTGGGCAACTCCTCCACCCATTTTCCCTTTACTGCTTCCAGCTTCTTTTTGATTCTATCCAAGATAGTCTTATTGGATGCTTCTGCCTTACCACTACTTTGAGGGAAACTTGGAGTAAAGTAGTAGTTCTTTATTTTGTACTTTGTACAGAAGCTTTTGATTAGCTTACTATCAAACTGTGTACCATTGTCTGCTATTATTGCTCTTGGGATCCCAAACCTGGGGATGATGTTCTTCCATATGAAGTTCTTCATATTGATATCTCGAATCTTCGCAAAGGGTTCAGCTTCTACCCATTTTGTGAAGTAATCAGTTGCTACTAGCAGAAACTTCATTTGCCCAGTTGCTTGGGGCAGTTGTCCAACAAGGTCCATAACCCACTGAGCAAATGGCTAAAGGCTAGAGACTGGGTTCAAATTTGCTATTGGTTGATGTATCAAAGGTGCAAACCTCTGACACTTCTCATACTTTCTGACGTAGGCTTCAGCATCCTTTTACATGTAGGGCCACCAGTACCCCTGAGTAATGGACCTATAAGCAAGTGATCTGCCCCCAGCATGGCTTCCACATACCCCTTTCATACAAGAAGTCTTCAACCTGGAAGGGATGTACACACCTCAAAAGGGAACCAATGAAAGATCTCCTGTAGAGGTGGCCATCTGCTGTTAGGCTGAACCTGGCCAATTTCAACTTGGTCTTATGGGCTTCTTTTAAGTTGTCTGGTAACTTACCATCTCTAAGGAACACCACTATTGCATCCATCCAACTTGGACCCATCTCTACACACATTGCTTCATATTCTGTGATCAATGGTTCCACACTTAGGCCTGACGAATAATCAACCATTATTGTCCTTGCCTCCTATGATTTCATTGCATAGCCAGGTTAGCCAAGGCATTGGCATGACTGTTATCATCTCGGCTAACCTGCTATAGCCGGTAATCCTGGAACAATGCTAGTAGTCTGACAACTTCTTTGACATAGGCTATCATTCTTTCATCTTGGGCTGCGTATTCGCCTGTTACCTAATTTACAACAAGTTGGGAGTCACAGAAGACTACCACCTCATCGGCTTCCATTGCTGCTGCTAACTTCAACCCCGCGATCAATGCCTCATACTTTGCTTCATTATTTGAGGCCTTGAACCCCAACCGAATAGACTGCTCTAACATTCGCCCATCTGGTGATACTAACACTACTCTTGCCCCCGTTCCTTGACGGTTTAAACTTCCATCAACAAACAGGCAGAAGGAGTCGCCGATATAGATGTCACAGGGCTTTGGTTTCTCTATCTTATTTTGCTTTGTTGTGGGGTTTTTCATTCCCAGCTGGGTTTCCTCTTATTCCCCTGGACACCCTAAGTCGCGGCTCGTCAGAACCTAACGTGGAATGGCACCAGGTGTGAACTCGGCCACAAAATCGGCCAGCACCTGGCCCCTAATTACTGTTATGGGCCTAAATTCCAAGTCATATTGGCCCAACATTACTGCCCATCTGGTTACCCTTCCTGTTAGATCTCCTTGCTGCAACAGGGACTTCAAAGGATGCTCCGTCAGTACCACAATCTTGTGGGCTTGGAAGTTGTGATTTAGTTTCTTTGAAGCCATTACTAGGGGTAATGTCAATTTTTCCAGGGGTAAGTACCTAGTCTCTGCACTTGCTAAGGTTTTACTCACATAGTATACTGCCTTTCGTTCTCATTTTTCTTCTCTGCTTATCCTTGCACTCACTGCGTGCTCTAAAAACGATTAAGTATAAGAATAGTTTCTCTCTAGGTATTGGATTTGACAGAATTGGAGCTGTTGTTAGGTATTTTTTCAAGTCGGCCAAGGCGACTTCGCATTCCTCTGTCCACAAGAAATCCGTGGCTTTTTTCAACAAACTGAAAAATGGTTTACACTTATCTGAACTTCTGCTTATAAATCTGTTTAGGGCTGCAGACCTTCCAGTCAACATCTGCACTTGTTTTGCCAATGTCAGGCTTTTCAAGTCCAGGATAGCCTTGATTTGATTTGGGCTTGCCTCAATGCCCATTCTGGTAACTAAGTACCCCAGGAACTTACTAGACCCAACTCCAAATGCGCATTTCGAAACATTGAGTCGGAGCCAATATGTTCTAAGCATATCAAAAACTGCTTTTAAGTCAGCCAGGTGATTCTTAGGTTCTTTGGTCTTCACAACCATGTCATCAATGTACACTTCCACTGTTTTGCCAATCAAATGTCTAAACATCTTAGTCACCAACCTCTAGTAGGTTGCTCCTGCATTTTTAACCCGAAAGGTATCACTCTGTAGCAATACAGCCCTTTCGCGGTGATAAATGCAGTCTTCTCCTCATCAGGGGGATACATTACTATCTAGTGGTATCCCCTGCAAGCATCTAGAAAGCTCATCCTTCCAGGTCCTGAAGTAGCATCTACTAACACTACATGAAAAAACATCTTTGGCGACTAAAAAAGCACTGTTGGTCGTTGAAAGTATATGTTTTGGCGACTAAAAAAGCATTAGTAGCCAAAAGTAAAATTTTTGGCGGCTAAAAAAATTTAGTAGCCAAAAGTATAGGTTTTGGCGACTAACAATCTGTTTGATCGCCGATATAAGGCTTTTACCGACTAAAAATATTTTAGTAGCCAAAAGTGAGGCATTGGGCGACTAAAAAGATGTTTGGTTGCCAAAAGTGATGCTTTTACCGACTAAAAAAATTTAGTATCCAAAAGTGAGGCTTTTTGGCTACTAAAAATAATTTAGTAGCCAAAAATGAGGCATTGGGGGGATTAAAAAGATGTTTAGTCGCCAAATGTGATGCTTTTACCGACTAAAAAAATTTTAGTGGCCAAAAGTGAGGCATTGGGCGACTAAAAAGATGTTTAGTCGCCAAATGTGATGCTTTTACCGACTAAAAAAATTTTAGTTAGTAGCCAAATGTGAGGCTTTTTGGCGACTAAAAAGAAGTTTAGTTGCCAAAAGTGGTTATTTTAGCGTGGGAATTAAATTTTTTAACGACTAAAAAAATTAGTAGCCAAAAGTATAGAATTGACGACTAAAAAGAAGTTTAGTTGCCAAAAGTGGTCTCTTTTTTTTCTAGTAAATAATTTATTTTTACATAAATTATGTTCAATAAAAATAATTATATTTATATATATACTTTTATATTAATACGGATCTATGTACTATACAAATAATATATGTTGCATGCTACCAGGGGCGGAATGGGGTCGTGACAG